ACGTTTTTAGACGTTATTTTGATTTGATTTTACCTGTGTTGGTTTGTAGAATGTACAAGTGCAGCCAGCTTGGCTTAATAGAAACAAGCAAACAAGATTAGTTTTTTAGTGATGAAGATCGCAGAGAAACTAAAAGGGACAACAAGGGAGATTATCGCCGTTATAAAATTGTTTGTTGCAAAAAATATTCAATTTTTTTTTTTGATGAAAACAGGAGCAAAAAGCGCTATTAGGCGTTTACATCAGTATGTAAAAGACTCGTAAGAAAATCAGGAGGTGAACTGAAGCAAACAAATCCTTCGTTAGCTTCCTGGGCTCTCTTCGCAAGACAATCTGTAACACGATTAGAGTCTCGATTGCACCACTCAAGACTAGCTTCCCAATCCTTCTCCAACCATTCGTGTATTTCTGTAAGCAAATGACAGTCAGGGTGCTCCTCGCTCCACCCACTAGCCATACATTCAACAACTTCCAAACAGTCAGTTTCCACTACTACCTTCTTCCATTGCAACTCCCAAGCTCGACGCAATCCCAACATCAAAGCCCAAGCCTCAGCCTGGAAGCTGCTCCCTCAGCCGATATTAAGGAGAAAACCTGATAAAACTTCCCCCTTATGATCACGAGCGACGCCACCGCAGCCCGAGTTGTTTCTAACCGGGTCATACCCGTCCGCATTGAATTTGACATATCCCCCAAACGACGGACTCTATCTAATGCGGCGATGCGCTTCTGTTGTTAGAAAGAAACAGATGGGCATGAATAATGATTAATTGAAATTTTTACATATTTTAAATAATTTAGTTTTATTAAAAAATTTAGAAATATTTTATTTTAATTTTGATTTATCGTTATCTTTTTAAAAAAATTTATGATTTATAGCTATCTTTTTTATTTAATTTTAGGATTTCTAAAAATATTATGCATTTAATTCTTAGCGTTAGAATTGAGATTAATTTATAAATAAACTTCCAGACATTTTACTTTATTGACATCATTTTATATTTATTAAATTTTTTGAAATAAATTTAAATTCTAAATTTTGTGAAAAAATATATAGTTTCTGCAAATTAAAAAGCATCCCGATAAGAGTCTTAATGATGAGATGATATACACATTCCAATTCTCCTGAATCAAGATTCTTTCTGTATTAAATCAACCTATTTCGTTTATTGATAACAAATTTAAGTGATTTTTACAACATGCAACTATTTTTAATTTTGAATCCAAAAGATTTAAAATTTTATATGATAATGAATTTAAAAAAATTATAATCTCGGAAAGTTTGTATGTTTTAGTGAATATATTGATATTAATGATATTTATTTATTTTAAAATTAAAAATACTAAAGGAAGTGTTAGTATAATGAATTAACACCTTCAATATAAAATATAAATATTAAAACACAAAAAAGTTTATAATTTTCCTCCACTACACACATTACTTACATATATTATTTGATTTGAAAATACATGCAAATAACTGTTACTATCACTCGAAAAAGCAACGGATTAAAAAGAAGCCTACCTTATAATTAAAATATTATGATTTTACATTTGCATAAGAATATTTATTAACTAATATGGAATTAAGTTTGAATTGAATTCAAAATTATAACGAACTGAATGATATAATAGAAACTTAAAATTCACAGGTAAAATAAATAAAAAAATAATAAGACCAATTGTAACTAATTTAGATGGCTACTTGTCATGACTTCATAGCACCATTTGTAAAGTTAGAAGTTGTTTTTATATATAAGCATAATGAAAGAAGGTTGAAAGATGAGTATTTTACCTAAGTATTCAATGTTATCTATCATATAACCATGCACTGCACAGGTGCGATGCAGATTAATTATAAACTTTTGATTGTTAATATATATAGTGCATAAAAATTATAAGTAATTTGAAATAATTATAAAATATGTTTAATTGAGTGATTGTGTATTGAAGGGTGAATTAAAATTCTATTAAGTTATTAGTTAATCACGTTTTATTTAAATAGATAATGGATCACAAGAAACAATATTAAACAGAGAGACTTCTTAGCACAGCAAGTCAGGAGAGCTGTCCAAGTGGACTCTACCCACGATGTTGCCCCTTCTCATGCTAACAAGGATCATGAGATGACCTTTGAGAGGATTTAACTCTCCAACTGAGCAATCCCGATCTCCAGAAATAAAATGCCCTTGTTGAGATATGTTTGTTTCTATGTATATTCAATGAGTTCCGAATTAATGATGTATTCATCTTAATTGAAGCAAATATCTATGTTGACTTTGAAATAGCATTTCGTGGGGCAAGTTTTTGGTTCTGTGTTTTTGTTTCAATGCCTATTGTATGGATTTTGAAATACTGATGTATTTATCTATACATGTTGAAGGCCAGTGTTAAATTTGAAATAACATTACCCTGTCTTGTGATGGCAATTGTATTGACAAGCATAGTCATACTGCATTGCAATGGTAAGTTGATTACAAAAGGATATCTTTAGTGGGGAAAAATTCAATCTATTCCAAATTCAAATTTTACTGCAAGCTCTGTAATTGTAATGAAAATATATAATCTTGTTATAAATTCAAAATTTGATTTAAACCTATGGCTTAACCTATTTTGAGTTTAATCTTATGTTATTCCCAAATAAATTGTTGTCATTTTTAATTAATATACATGTTATTTCTTGTTATGGATCACGAAAAAACACATTATTAATCTCAAGTTTAGATTTATCCTTATCTGATAAAGACATATCATTTTCAAATAAATTATTATCATTTTTAATTAATGTACATGTTATTTCTTGTTATGTATTAGGAAAAGACACATTATTATTCTCAAGTTTAAATTTGTCACTTTCTAATAAAGATATGTCATTTTGAAATAAATTATTGTCATTTTTAATTTCTTGTTATGTATTAGGAAATGTTGATTTATTAATATCAAATTTAGACTTGTTATTTTTTAATTAAGACTTGTCATCCACAGTAAAAGAGTCAATTTATAAGTTTTTTTACATTACAAGGTTAATAAGTTTTTGATGGCCCAATGGTTATCTTTTGTTTTTTTTGTTGGTCAAAATAACCAAGTGGTAGTGGGATCAAATCCCACTACCACTACTTTTTTGCAATATTTCACATGACCAAAAAAAAGTTGTGACAAAAAAAAATCCATCGGTAGCCACCACACCGGTGGCCATCCACTGACAAGGGCTAAGCCCTTTTTTTTCAAAGAAAAATGATAAAAAACATTTTCGTCATTTTGCTGAATTTTAAAATTCTAATTTAGAAAAACTTTCCTCTTTATTCTTGAAAATCCATAGCTTTTCAAATTGAAATATTATATATTCCACTTTTTTTGTCCGTTATTTTTCTGATTATTATATTGCATGTGAGAATCCATCATAGGAATAATGAGGAAATTAATGCCATCACTAGCCAAAAGTTGTTTCCGGTGTACATTGAATACGCTTTTTAATACTAATGACTCGATTCATTTCATAGGAGCCATCTAGTGAATAAAAACAAATTACATTGAAACTTAAGATTATTGGCACGACCATGATGAATTTTTAAAATTATTTTTACTATTATCATAAATAAATTATCTTATCCATTATTGTAACCTTGTAACTGTGTTGAGTTTTTAGGAGACATCATAACGAATGGAATTTTGTTATTTTATTATAAATTTAAATTAAATTTATTTAGATAACTAAATCATATAAAGAAAATTAATTTGACAGTCCTCATAATTTCATCAAAATTTGAATCAGGTTTTTATAGTTTTTTTTCTTTTTTTATTTCATCCTTATTATTTGTTTGTCATCCGTGAGGCTGCCATTACTTTAAATTAAGAGGGCTAATGTGGCACCGATTAGCCCTCTTAAGTTTGACTGAGCACTGTCTTCCTCTTCCCCTTCCTCCACTCAGTCTCTTTCCAAGCTTTTGGCGATTAAGATCAAGGTCTCAAAAGTTTAGCCTATACACTTTTAGAAAAATCTTAAGTCAATCAAATTGATTGATTATTTAGTATTTTTCCCATCAACGAAGCTAGGAAGAACAAGGTCAAAAAAAAAAAAAACAGAGAAGCTAGGAGGACGGGGGGGGGATTAAAACGCGTTGCTTGTTTCAGTACAAATACAATTCAAAACTCGAAATTGCCGTGGAGTAGAAGAAACACTTTGTGCTTCACAAGAAAAAAAGAAAGACAAGATGAAAATAAAGGAAATTTGACCGAAAATGAAAAATAATGGAAAAAAATTTCTGCATTTAAATTTAAACTAAATTACATAAACTTCTCCTTAACTTACAATCATATACAAATAACTTCCTTAATATTTAAATTTTAATAATAAATCGCTCTAAAGTTTTAAGCCTACACATATAACCATAAAAAATCAATTGTATATTTTTGAAAACTTTATTCTTTTGGCAGATAAAACTTCGTTTTTGTCTGCATATCTTTTAAATATTGAATTATACATATTTTATCAACCACGATTTGGTATAATGAAAATAACTGATATTTCAAAATGTGATAAATTAATATTTGAATTTGTATTAGAAGAGATAATTTCCATTCGTGCAGGCTAGATCACTGGCTTGTTTACGTTTTTCTATTTCTGCTGTATACAAAAAAGTATCTGTCCATTCCTCAAATATGATTATTTCTAATCTGAAGATAATGCAATTTGGCAATTAAAAAAACAGGGAGAAGATAATGCAATTTGGCCAAAAAAGGGAGAGAAGATAAATTATTAATAAAAACTACGCATATTTTTATTAAGAATTTATCTTTTAGTTGTTTTATATTTTTAATTAATGCTTTCAGTTGTTCGGATTTAAAATCCACCTATTCTAATTTATCTTAGTTTTTTTCCTAGGTAATTTAATTATCTTAATTCCACATGGATATATTATTTTTTTTGACCTAGAGGTCCTATAAAAGGTTTTGTAATTACGTCAGTTTCTCGCAGAGATAAAAAAAAATCCCACGTTCTTCTGAAGTTTTCCTTCCCACAGCTATTCCCTGACCACCGATTCCTACTTCTGGTTATTTTCGTCTGCTCCGTCTGCCTCCGCCGTCTCTTTCTGTGCTTCCGCTCTAATCGACGGCATAACCTTCAGCATTTGGAGTCGGAGCCATGAATATCTTCAGGCTTGCCGGGGACATGACCCATCTGATCAGCATTTTGGTGCTGTTGCTCAAAATCTACGCAACTAAATCATGCTCAGGTGATACTTTCTCTCCAAGTCCTTCACTTTGATCTCCCACTTGGTTTGCTTTCGCGGCAATCGTCTCAAGAATTGAAGTTACGGAGCCTCTGTTAAAAAATTAGTATACCCATTTTGCCGTTCTCTGGATTGCTGTGCCCGTTAATTTAGTGTGAAAGGAACGGTTTTTTACGTCAATACTTTCGATTCCTTATTAGATTTTGACCTCCGTGCAGTTTCGTGTCCTTCGGTTGGAAATTTTGTAAGCATAGTTCTAGTAAATGTGTGAGTTGTGGACAAACAAGGGTAGGAAAGGATCGAAAAATTGGGGTTAATTCTTTCCACCTTTTAATATCTGTGTTTGGAAACAAAGAACCAGAAATAATAATTTATTAATTGGGTATTGAGTAAGTACGCTGATTAAGGAAATTGTTTCATTGGCTGCTTTTAACTGCAGGGATTTCTCTTAAAACCCAGGAGCTCTACGCATTGGTATTTCTGGCTCGTTACTTGGATCTGTTCACAGACTTTATCTCGGTTTATAACACCATCATGAAGGTTGTTTTTATTGCGAGCTCTTTAGCGATCGTGTGGTGCATGCGAATGCACCCAGGGGTTAAGAGAAGTTATGATAAAGAGCTCGACACATTCCGCCATTATTTTCTTGTATGGACGAGCTTTGTTTTAGCACTTGTGCTGCATGAGAAGTTCACATTCCAAGAGGTAGCTGTTTGTTTTTTTAATGTTTGCTACTATATGATATGATTTACAGTCTTTATGTTTTATCCTAATAATTGTTGATCCGAATGCTTCTCAAACTCCTGCTAGTGAAAAAGAGTTTGAAAGCTTATATAATTTTCCTTGCATGCTCTTGCACTTTGATTATGCCTTGTGTCTCTATTGCTGAAACATATATTATTGGGCTATTTCATTGCAATAAGCTGGTTCTTTAATTATTTACTTATTTATTGTATTTTTCCCCCCCCCCCCCACCACTCATTTTAAATTTCTGCAAACATCTTATTGATTTTTGTTCTGGTGACTGCAGTTGCAACCCAAATTTTTTTTTTTTTTTTCAACGGCCACCACTTCCACTTGGAAATATAGTATTCCTCCAAAACCAATTTGTTATCAGAAACACTACCCTAATGGTGCCATCCAAACTTGGATAAAAGAATTTGAAAATCTTGATTCTTGTAGTGCTTTTTTCTTGTATATCTTTTCCTCAGTTTCTGACTCTCTTGAAGCGGTGGTAAATTCTTTCCTAAGAAACTTCTTTGGAAACTCAAAACTACTTGAAGATCAAGTTTTACCTAGACAATATTTCTTGTTAACATTTGTGCTAGTGCTCTGCTGATTTGTAGACCTAACAACACTTTATCCCCTACCATGCGTCTGATATGTTTCTTTAGTTCATAAACGACTGCTATTCTCAGCAGAAAATCATATTTGCTTTTGGCTTTTTTTTTGAGTATATGGTGAACTCTGAATAGCTCGTAGTTTTGGAGCATGTTCAATGATTAAGTTCAAAGGTTTTGATACAGGAGTTCAAAATTTTATATAGCGTGTTTAATACATGTTGGCGTCCTTGGTTGGAAATGAGTACTCAGACCTTTGGAAAAAAATCTATGTTCCAAGTCATGTTTAAGTCTTAGTTTTCTTATCTTTTTGGTTGCTCATGGCTCTCTGGTGTTCTGTAACTAGTAAGTTCAGAGTATCCTTGTTGGATTTATAAAGGAATTGTAAAGCTCTTCGTGCTATAATTTAACTTGTGACAGTCGTTCTGCTCTGTTTCTTTTGGTTGCTTTCATGCTTTTCTGTTCAAAGGAGCAATGCTCTCAAAACTGGATCAACTTGACCAGTCTGTTTAACCAGGAACCTGACCGTGGTCTAGTTCAGTTCTATTATATTGTTGGTGTTAATACACATTGGTCTAGAAACCAGTGAACCAACGGTTCTGTCACAACTGGTTAATCCAGGTGGGGTAGACGGGTTTTCTGTTTGATGATGGTGGCAAATTCTTATGCTGCCATATCATTAGCTTCCCACGGAACTTGCACAAAGTGCCCAATGGTCCTGAAGAGGGCTGTATGTCATGTAATTTGACATTTTCGAAATTTATGGAAATTATCTGACAGCATGTTAAGCATTAATATGTGGGTAGCTGTGGAAGGCCGAAAACCATACCTCATAATAGGGTGGCTATCATAATCATAGTATCTTATTTCCTTAAGGAATCTTCAGCTTAGCTGCTCATCATTGTTATTTCTTAATTTGTTCATCCTAACATTGTAAAGATATTGAAAATTCGTTATTCATATTGATGAGTCCTTTAATCCGCGAACAGAATGCTTGTCCTTTTTTATGTATTGTCGACATGGACAATTTAGTTTGTATGTCCTGGCAACGTTGTAAAATCATGAATATTAACTTCAATGTAAATCTACTGCAGATTTTCTGGGCATTTTCAATATACTTGGAAGCAGTTGCAATACTACCCCAGTTGGTTTTGTTGCAGCGAAGTGGAAATGTGGACAATTTGACCGGCCAATATGTATTCTTTCTTGGGTATGTGCTTACTTTTGTTGATGTTACTTTCTCATCTAAGATCCTTCAAACCTTGGTTATTATTATTGAACTTTCTTTGGTCAGCTGGTCATTAGTTGATAATGCTGAGTTGTTGGGAAGTCTTTTAGAGGTGAAAGTGCATCAGAATAATTATACTTGCTAGATATGTTACGGAGTATAGCTCTACTTACATTGAAAACGATTCACCTACAATTCACAGTGATTTCTACTTTACCAAATTCTTAGTTCTTGTTTCTTGGGCCGGTTTAACAGTTTCTAAATATGTATTTTCCATCTCTAGTTTTTGATAAGCTGTCTCACTACTTGTGGTGAAGACTTGGTAATCTGAGATATTTACTCACACATTAATTAGTATGGGATGCTTAATTCTCCTACCTTAACAACTAGCTTTTAGAGTAGAGTTTCCTGTCTCACTTGGGTTTCCATCATTGTGCATGATCACAGCAAATATTAATGGACTTGTCGAGATTTGTCATACTAAGGATCTCATATTATAATGGCTGATCATCGATCTGCAGGGCATATCGTGCATTTTACATTATGAACTGGATATACCGATATCTGACTGAGCCACGCTTTACTCGATGGATTGGTAAGTAATGCTTTGGAATTAAAATAAGAATCTCTCTTATACTCTAGGATAGTGGAAAGACTCTAAGCTTATTTCCTGTTATTTCAGCTTGCATCTCGGGTATTGTTCAGACAGCTCTATATGCCGATTTCTTCTATTACTACTTCATCAGGTAATGTCCATTTCCCGTTAAATACTTTTAAATTAAAAGTTCCCTTGTACATATAACAGATGAATAACATCAGTTTTGTTTTGCAGCTGGAAGAACAATTCAAAACTAAAACTGCCAGCTTGAGCAAACCCATGATTGTTTGGAATGAGAGTCACTGCTGGATTTTTATGGAGTGTGATCTGGTTGATGTTTAGTGACTTGCAGAGAAAAGTTTGCCGCATAGGCCATCAGCGGCACCCCAGTTCATCAGTGGGATAGTGGGGTTTTAGCTGGGAGAATTTTCAATCTCATAGGTTATTTAGGATCAGGTTAAGACAAATGTTTATATGTGAAAGATAGTTTCTTTGGAGTTTCAAGTCTCCATTGCACATTAGTATAGTTAGCTGGGCAAAGCTGCTGTGTTGGTTATACAAGCCGTTAATATTATAATGTTCTTTCCTTGACAAATGAAATTGTTCAGCCAGATTTTTTTAGATCATTAGTTTTATTCATGCCCTTAATTAGAGAAGGTTGACTATTTAATAATCTGCAGTGTCCTTATGAAGAAAATCATACGCATTGGTGGGAACTGGCTAGTAAACAAAAAGGAATAAACTTAATTTTAAGTGGGCTTTTAAACTTTCTATGTTGTTGCCGTTATTATTGGGTACAGTTCTGGGTTATTATTTTTAAAGTTGGTTCTAGATAGATTCTAGAAGAAAACTAGACCCACTCATCTACATGTTAACAGCCATCCAGTATGTTTTTCTTTTCTTTTCTTTTCTTTTTTTAAATGTATGTTTATTATGTTCTTGTAATTAATGTTTAATATAGTACAATATTAGGCAAGTTAATGAAATGGTGAAGAAGGATTCAGCAAGCATCAGCATAATATATCACGTTGAAAAAGGTTAAACTTGCAAGAAAACTGAAACATGCTATGGAACCTACTATAACACCATAAAATTTATTTATTTCATAATTAAAGAAGAGAAAGAAGAAGAATTATACTTTTTGGGGGCGAGTTATGTATCAAAAAGGAGGTAAAGTACAAGATATTTTCGGCAAAAATGTACAAGATTTTGATATGAGGAATTTATCTTACTCCAAAGACCAAACAATTGTGGGTTCCCAATGTGCTTCGATATTTTGATGATGAGCCCATATCATAACTAATAACAAACAAGAATTTTCTGAAGATATCTGTATTGGTATATTATTCAATGATTTTGTTGCTTTTTGGATATGTAAAGGGGACACGTCCAAAAAGATGAAAAACTTTGTGTTTGAAGAATTATTATTTTTTTAGCTATTTAGTTTCCATTGTCGCTCGTGCAAACAAGGCATGATTATGATGAAACCAATCCGATCAAACAGTTGAAGGCATGACATTTGAATCATTATGAGATTCATATACAAATGTTCGTTGTGTAAACATAAAGCTGCATGCTCAGACAAAAAAATATAATTAAAGAAACAAGAGTTAAGAAGTTAGGGATGTGAGTCTTATATGTTGTGTTATGGTTAGGGACAAAAACACCCATAAAATACTTTTCTAGTTCTAAATATAATACCTATTTTGTAGTATAATTTACATTATAAAATGGGTCTTTTACCGGAGGATGACTATCTTATGGTGCAATTTCACCCATGAAATTTGGAAATAGTGTAAAAATTCTCAATTTCTGACAGATGCACACAGAGGCAAATGTTAAAATGAATATAAAAAAGATTGAAATTTTTATATGACCAAGAGTGTAGACATGGAAAATTAATAAAGATTAGTTATATATATAAAAGATACTACCTCTGGTCTTAATTATAAGTTATCGTTAGCGATCTACAAATGAGATTTTATAATTAAGACTGAAGGTAGTTTTTCTTCTTTTGACACAATGATTTGTTTTGAAAGCACAATGATGTTGTTGGGAGAAAACACAACGTTATATAACTTGCTCAAAGCAAATATAAGCACTTGAACAGATATAAATGGACTACTTATTTTTATATACCTAGCATTTGACCAAAAAATTGTCAAAAATTGACATAAATTGTGTGCATGTATAAACCATAAAGAATAGAAGTGGTGAAGAGACTATGTGGAGCCAGACATGAGTGAAGTTGATGACTTAATGGGGAGTCATGTTTGAGTCACAATCATCCTTTCGGCTGCGTCTTTTTCTGATGTTTTCGCGCCAATTGCCGACTTTGGTCCCATCCTATCCCATTAAGCCTCCTCATCAATCATAGATTCATAAATTACAAGTTATTTTTTGTCATTAATACAAGCATAAATTGTTGGACCTGAATGAGTTTGGAATAGTACATCATATGAATACTTTTTTCTTCCTGGTGTACTAATATTGTAAGGTTATATGCGGAATCAAACCTGCACCTTCTATTTATAAAGAAGATTAATGTCACTCACCTGCAAAGACTTTACAGTATATGAACATTTTGATCAAACAACTTATCATAAATACTTGTTGACGGCTCTGAACTTCCCTTTGTCCTCTATATCTTTGCCTCTTCCTGAGAGTTCAAATGACTTCACGGGGATTGAGATTGAAGTTAAGGCCAACACAGATAAGGACTGGGGGAAAAAGGCTTTGACACCCGCATTTGGTTGTTTCTATGTAAGAAAATAAAAGCGATTTATGTTAAAGAAATTGGAGATAAATTTCTCATTCGAAATTATTGACAAAAGTGTTTAAAGATTTTGTGTAATTTATTTTTTTTTTTGTGTAACTCAATTCATCTTTTCTTTCTGACAACGACATCTTTTTCTTTGTATAACTGATCAAACTTCTTTTATACGCAAATCTCTTTTTCCTATTTTTTTTAATTAGTCCTTTATGTCCGCTGGTAAAAAAAAAAAAAAGTCCTTTATGTCCAAGTATTTATTTTTAATTAGGTGCCAGCATGCTGCAATATTTTTTTGGTACATTTAACACCAAGACAAAAAAAAAATATTTCAAGTGATAAGCGCGTCTAAAAAATATTTTAGGATATTAGATGATCACGAAATAATTTAAACATTAGATGTACCTTAACCCATTTAAAAAAAAATCCCACTTTTGCTGGTTGCTAGAAGCCGGTTCGAAATCTCTCTTCTTCTTTTTTCATCATCTTCCTTTTTTAACCATTAAATTAACATTTTAACGGTTCAAATTTAAATCTTTTTAAAACTATTATTAAAATATTAAATATTAAAATATAAAAAAACAAATTACAAACTATATTAAAATTTAATTCTAATGATTTGCGAGTGCAGTAAAGGTTTTTCAAATTTTTTTATAAATAGTTTTATAAAAATTAAAATCTAAACTGTTAAAATATGTTAATATAACAATTAAAAAAAGAAGAGGAGGGAAGAGGAGAGGTTTCGAGGAGGCTAGAAGCCACCACCAATTGGTCGGAGCTCCGACGTAGACGAACAATGCTTGGCAAAGGCTAGAGTAATTGCTTATATGTTGTTGTCAATAGTTATATCTATCACAAGTTTATGTAAATTCTGTAGCAATCACTTATTATCAATATTCTTAATGACTGATGTATTATAGCCACTCACTTGCTATTGAACTTACCTAAATTATTTGTGATATTATTGTAAAAGATGTTATGATTAAATCGCAGTTAGCCACTTTGCCAAAAATTGCCGGGCTGCTAGCTGCAATGGCTCTTGGTAGTGGAGCATCTTTTTTTTTTAAAAAATAAAATTAAGAAGCACTAAGGCCATTTTGCTCCAATTTTGAAATTTCATTTTGGTCTAAAAAAACTAATTTGTGTTATGAATATAATCTTTGTATTCAATACCGTGAATATCTTGTATTCATATATCTTCTATTATCTTTTATATCTTTTCATTTTCAATATCTTTATTATCTCTATATCTTATAATTATCTATTATTATTATGTAATCTATAGATTCTGTTAAAATTATAAAACTGTGCCTATAAATAGAGAATATGTATTATGTGTTCAATATTTTGAATGAAATGAGAATATTCCAATATTTTCATCTCTCTGATTCTCTTCCTTTTTCTCTACTTTTTCTTTCGGATTTGGAATTTTTGCATTTTGGAAGTATTTATTTATCTCTTCTCTGGATTTATATCATTTGAATTTATGATTACCATTTTCCAGGTATTGGGTTATGTGATATATTTCTGCTATCTTCTTGAAACTCTTATGGATCTATTATCATATTATATATTATGAACATATCAAAATAAAGTCACACCTACAGATATTAAATTAAATTGTATATGTGTGGATACAAAAGTTGAACTGGTTATTACACTTTCACATCTCTTTCTTAAATCCCTACATAATTTTTCACAAATCTAAATAAATATATTTATCACATTCCATATTATCTATAATAAAATAAAAAATTTGTTCACATCATTGCTATCTATATAAAAATGTCTGTTCACATATGTTTTACATATAAATATTTATTGAACTTGGATTTTATGTAGACTTGTATTAATTATAGCTAGGTATCTACTGTGGCCTGACATGCGGAAGAAGCATGCTTCCTTTTAATGGTGCGAGATATCTGCAACTTGTTTAATGGCCTAGATGCAATAACTTTTTTTTTTTTTTAATTATATGCAACCCATCATTAATTATATGCAAAATAAAAAAATTTAGATATCACAACTAAAGATATGTTACATGGAAACCGATTCATTTAAATTTGATAGGGAGTTTTAGATTTCAAATTTTTTAATTAGTTAATTTTGAATAAAAATTATTTTAAAACATGATAATTAAGATATTATTTTTATTTTAGATCTTATATCCATTAAAATAATATTTCTAAAAAAATAAAAATAAAAAATTAAATCAAGACTTTTTAGATGAAATCTAAAAAATTTAAATCTGATAAGCTTGAGTTGCTTATGACTCATTCATTTTCTAATAAGATATTTTTAACCAACTTTTCATGATCTTTCAAGTATTATTATATTTTATCATTTTAAATATAAAACCCTTATATATACTAATATAAAAATTTTATAATTACGACTGGATGAGTATTTTTTATTTGGTCTGGTGGCATCTTTACCTTTATTATTATTTATTATTATCAAAGAGCGGAACAAAGACAGAGACAAACAACATCTTAGGGCAGATCCGGCAGACTCCTACCAAA